ATCGTTTTTGAATCATGTCACCATGTCATGTTTTAAATTGCCAGATCTATTTCAAGGTATTTTTTATATAAAAATGCAGATGCAAAGCAACATTGGGGAATATTTAGACCAAAACTAGCAGTAGAGAAAAAAAAAAGGGAATAATATGATCACTTTGGTTTCTCAACTATCCTTGAAATGGGTTAATGCACAACCTATTGCAGCAGATTAATAACACTATACACGTACCCTTTGAGTTGCAACTTGAGGCTCACAAGTTCCTACTAAGCATGTACATAAAAAATATGACTGAGGCATTAATATATAACAAGCATTTAAAGTATGAATGAAGAGTTACAATCAAATGCTGTTAACCAATCTAAAGCAAAAGAACAACTATAAAAGAATTCAAACCAAAAATCAGGCAACCTCTCCACTCCATCTTATATCTATTCAAAGTTAACAGAGTTCTAGAACAAGCATATGATCCCCTCATCTCATTTATACGAAAAACAAATTAAGAGTAAATTAAAAATCTACAAATCTAACAATTTCGTTGTTGTAATTAAGCAGACCTCGAAAAATTACTAAGCACCAGGTAAATCAGTAGAGCAAGGACGTGATTATATAGTTATATTAGGAATACGATCAAATGAAAATTTTCTTTCCCCATTTGAGCACATTTGGTGTCTGGCTGATCTTTTATTCAACCAGCGCCCCAACACGATATCCACTCTCCAATTACTCCACCAATTCTTGTGTTGATAAATAAAGACTTTACTCCCACCATGACTTGCATGGTATTAAAACTATATCAAACAACAAAAATATATAAAAATATCATAGATTACTGGGACACGAGTATGTAGTTATATCCATGTTATAATTCAAATTGATAACTGCTTTGCATGAAAATGCATTGAATACCCAATCATATGTTGGGTACAAAAATAGAATGATCCTTTACACTGTTTTTGGTAGGAGGAAAGAGGAAGGAAAGGGGTGGAAAGCAACGGTATTCCCTCTTCCCTTTTGTTTGTTTGGTAGGACAACAGAAGGAAAACGAGTGGATTTGTACCTTTCTATTCCCATAAAATCCAAACTGTCTGATGTGGGAGGGGGAGGGAAAACAATTGTAGATTAATGGCTTTACCATCAACTTTTGTTTCCTATCGTATCCATATCTCGTACCAAACATGAGGAAGGAAAAATTTTTTCCTTCATTCCTTCCCTCTTTTATTTTCCCATCTTCACCTTTTTCCCTTCCCTCCATTGTCCTTCCTACCAAAAACAGTGTTAGGGATATTCTCCTCATAGGAAGTACCACTACCCTCATAAACAACTTTCTGAACCATTAACTTGAGGTCCAATGCATAAGTATCAAATATCCCCAGAAGGAATGATCCCAAAACATAATAATACCAGTCTAACAGCTTACCATTAAGCTTACATGAATTATAAGCACAAAAAGACACCAGATCATGGGATAATAGAATGCAAGATAAAATTCTTTTAAGTGCTATATGTACTTTCAGACATAACATAAATAAATCAACAGATAAAATTTGAAATTTCAGTAAACTATTTTCATCTTGCTGAAACCCAAATTGATTAAGCTAAAAGTCCAGCCGGTTACAATCACAGTAAACCAGTAAACCATATAATAGGTATCATTATGAGGAAATTGCTTGGCAAGCTAAGCAAATTGCATGTCAACCCACAAAAATTACTAATATCACAAAATCCACCGGGACCTAACAATAAATCTTTTAAGATCAGGAAATCAGAATTATGGATTTAAGGTGAGATTGATATAGTAGTCAATTTCTACACATTGCTTTTTGGTACATACAAAACTCCACCTAAATCTTACTTCTTTTTCTCACACCCTACTCCATTTAGTAAAAAAAATCAGCTAGCATATCATTTAGTGATTTAAATTCAACTCATCCCACCAATAAAATTGAAGAATGTCATCCAAGATATATATGCAAATAATTATAAAATGCAAAAGGAACCAAATAGCATTTGCAAAACTAGCAAGTTGTATAAAACAAATACCCGAAGATGCGAGAAGAGGAATAAATGCATCGAATTGAACAATTCAGAAAAAAATAATAATAACCATTAATAAATACCCAAAGTAGTGACTAGGCTCACCCTTCTTTACACGGACGAACTTCCCTGAGTGAGAGCGGCGGACATGCCTCACTGCAATACCACCAGTCGGCGCCTTGCCACCTGCAGGGACCTTTAATTGATGATCCGAGAGCAAAGCAGTCGGCGATTTCGGGGATGATGACAATCTTGGGGATGGTAAAGAAGTCTCCACATTATGACTTGCTATTTTTAGCATTTCCCTTTGTTCATCAGTAAGAAATCCCTCACCTGAAGCCATTTACTCTTCACCAATTCTAAATGCCTTTTAAAATTTTTTAAGAAAAAATAAAACAAAAAAGTCAGCATTAACCAAAAAAAAAAAAGCAAGTAATTACTTTCTTTTAGATTAGACTGTTTTCGCAAGAACAAATATTACAATTAATTAAAGTAATAACTGTTAAATGCAGTAAAATCTCATCCACTATAAGTAAGACAAAAAGGATTTTTACTACAACCGTAACGGTTACATTCAGCACTCTGTTTTCCTTCCTTTTCTCACCATATTCCCGGCAACCAAACATGACGACTACATCAAAATCTACCAAAACAAAAACTAAATAAAAGGATAAGAGCAAGCAAAAATACCTGTTTTCTAGCGTAAAACTTGGTTGAGGAAAATTGAAGTTCGAACCCGTATCCGATCCTTCTGTTCGTGGCCCGGATCTCAAGCCAAGACAGAAGTAAATCGGATCTCTCAATCGGAGCTCAAGTTCCAGTCCCCCTAATAAACGGCGAGGGAAAAAGAAGGAAGAGATCCAAAAAAGGAGCCCTAGATCAAAGAAAAAGGGTCGGGTTCAAGGCACCGAGTTCGATCCAAGTTTCGGGTCGGATAATCTGTTCAGAAAGAGAGAGGAAATGGATGAGAATGAAAAGGGTGAATCCGTAAGAGAAGGGGATATATATAGAAAGGAGGGAGGCTACGGTTACGGATATATTGTTTTTTCGAGGCCACGTGGCAGCGTTGCTACAGAACACCGACTAAAGTGCCGGTTCCCTGTCCTTTGCTGACACGCGGAACGTGTTCATGACAAGAACCGGTTTGGTCTAGGGTTTGAGTAACCAACTTGAATTGCCTAAAGTACCTTTGGTTTATATATAGATAGATATATATATATATATATATAAGAGATAAAGATTCTTAAATTTTAAATCAAATTTTATTTTAATCACTAATTTTTAAAACATTTTAACTGGAACCTTAATTATTTAAAGTTGTTTAACTTTGATTTTTTTTCATTTATAAAATTATCCAAATAAACTGTAATTATCCATTGATATCACATTGATGACTAATTGATATCTCACTTAATAGTAATTACCAATTGATATCATGTTGATGACTTCAATTGATACCTTACTTAACAGATAAGATAAAAATAAAATTTCACTCCAAGATCAAAGATGTTAATATCTTAAATTTTTATTTATTTTGGATATATTTTATAAAATATTATAATTTAAAATAATGTTTATATTTTATTGTAATATGATTTATTAGTTAAATATTTTTATTTTTAATAGAAAATAGATTTTAAAAAAATTAAAATTAATTTAAAATTTTCAAAATTTTTTAGAAAATTTTATATCACTTTAAAAACAAAAAATCTATTTTTTAAGAAAAATATTATTTTACTACAAAACCATAATAGAAAATATAATTTTTTTATCAAAAAAATCTATTAAAAAGATTAAATATCTTTTTCATTTTTCCAAATATATTTTATAAAATTTATTTTATAAGTCAGAAAAAGAAAAATAAAAATGATTAAAGAAGAAATTGAGTTTTTGTATTTCAAAACTATTTTATAAAACATTATAATTTAAAATAGTTTTTTATTTTTATTGTGATATGAATTATCAATAAAATAATATTTTAATAAAAAAATTAAAAAAATTCAAATTTATTTTAAAATTCAAATTTGTTTTTCAAATAATTCCATATCGCTTTAAAAAACTTAAGTAAAAGTTTCTGTACTGGTTTTAAAAAATTAAATAAAAAGACTTTATTTTTTTAAAATATTAAGTAAAAATTTTCATATTATTTTAAAAATAAATTTATTAATCTATTTTCTCTCCAAAAATTTTATTTTTTTATTAAAAATTTGGTATTTGTAAGATAAAAAAAATCATTTTTAATATCCTGATTTATTCCCCTTATCTGATTGGCGTTGGTAAGTACCATTCTAATAATATTTTTTTGTTTTTTAAATATAAAATTTTAATAAAGAATAGATTCAAAATAAAATTTTTAATGGGAAAAATCTAACAATAGATTAACAAATTGATTTTTTAAGATATAAAAATTTTTACTTAATAGTTTAAAATAATATAAAGTTTTTTATTTAATTTTTTAAACTGATTTAAATATTTTTACTCAATTTTTTTTAGAAAGATTTTGAATTTTTAACTTAATTTTAAATTTTATATTCTATTTCTATTAAAAAATGTAACTAATAAATTATATTAAAATAAAAATAAAAATATATTAATTTAAAATTAATATTTTATGAAATATATCTTAAATATAAAAAATTCAAGATAATGGTTTTTTTTTTTTTAATTTCTAAACTTTAAATGAAATTTTATATTGATTGTTTTGTTTAAGATGTAAGATATTAGTCGATATTATTTACACGACATTAATTAGTATTTATTATTAATTTAGATAATTTTATAAAAGAAATGACCAAAATTTTTAAACAATTAAGAATTTGATAAAAAATTTTAAAAAATTAAAAATAAAAATAAAATATGAGGCAAAATTTAAATATCGCGAATACTTGTTAACCCTATGTATATATTGTTTTCATTTTGTCAATTATTGTTTTTTTTATCATGGAATGAAATTCCCAATCTAAATTTGGTAAAAGTATTATATACATCCATATCCTTTATATCAAAGATTGCTTGATTTAACCGTTTACTTAAAAGAGAAATTATCATGATAATGAATTTTTTTAATTTAAGTAGAATAATTGGATAATACATATCATTAAGAGTATAGTAAAAAAATTAAAAAACCAAAGATAAATTTTCCACGAAAAATCCCAATAAATTTTCTTTTGAGTTGGCAACTTGCCCGTGATTCTTAAAATTTTTGGCTCCGAAGGGAAGGAAACTATTAATGCAATACAAGATCCTTGTATTTTTCGAAAGGATAAGCTTTTAATAAGTGGCACCGACGTGCACATGGATTGATTTGCATATTTTGATGAGATTAGTCAAGCAGCCACAAAGCAGCTTCTGAAAATTAACAAGGGAAAAAGACAGAACAACGAAAAAACAAAGGGCGGCTTGAAGATAATATAGTCGGTCCACAGTTCAAACAAAGACAAAAGTAAAATAACGCAAGGATTAGACAAAGGTTTATATAGAAAATAACATATACCAAATATAGACTGCCCCAAATGCCTAACTGATTTATGCTTCATTTCATTTGGTTGGCTTATGCTTCATTTCATTTGGATGATTGGTGAAAAGAGATTTTCTTCACCAGAGAGAAGAGATTCCCATTGCGTCATCACGTACCTGAGGCTTTAAAAGCATGAAAGAACGACTCGATGGAGGGGAGATTCAATGTATTGATGACGAAATAAAGGCATGGGTTCGTATACTCTTGTCCACAGTTTGGTTGAACAATGAGCACTAAATGAAATTCTCTAGTAAATAAATTCTACAAAACAGCAAAACACAGAAACAACATCAATATCTAACAATTATGGGGAATCAATCTCCAGCTAATGCTGCTGTTTAGAGAGGATTTGCAGAAGATAAAAACAAAAAGGAGACTCAGCTAAACGTAGTCATTAACTCAAACAGCCTCAACTAGAGTGCTAAAGGCATTGAGGAAATGCTATTTACCCATCTCACTATTATGTTCTTGCATAAAATACTACGTTTTTTCCCCTCTTGGTTGACGTCCATAATCATCTATAAAGGGCTTTTCTCAACTATCTGACTTGGTTGGCTTGTATGGAGATAGGTCAGGGAATGAGGACGACTTGGCAGGTCAGCTAGCCTAAAGTGGGAATGAGCATCCGGAAAGTTCATAAAACACTGAACTGCCCGCTACAATAAACCTAAGCTAACTTCTTTTATTTTTTGCTATTTTTATCAAAGCTAACTTAATTTACCAGTGGCATCCTCATGTTTATGAAGAACAAAACCAATTGGTCCATTCTATTAACCCAGAGAACTTGGATAACCAAAAAAAATCCATGCATATCAAATCTGAATTCAGATAATTACCTCCTGGTGTTGTGCTGATACCAGATCACTCTCACAGACAAGCTATAGCCAATCTAGTAGATTGTTATAGGATCAGAGCAAACTTTTGAGGGATTTGGTTACAAAAGGTTACAAAAGGATACGCTTATTGGTCACAGAATGCTGAGATTATACTTTGTGGGATAAAGGATCAGAGCATAATTTGACACCTGTCATCGCAAAACCATCCAAGTGCTAACACTCGATCATTGCCATCTGATACCATATCCTGGGATAGAAGAACATTTCATGCAATCTCAAAACCTTTCAAAACAAAGGGCACTAGTAGTCAAGACATAAAGTCTCCAAAAGAAAAATCAACGGTGACCAACTAAGCTGTCACATAATGCAAAACTGGCATCATTGCTGACCACTATGAGCAACATCAGGAGTTTTGCGATGCTTTTTCTTGTTTTTCCAGAATTCATCTTTCTTCGTCTTCCTCTTTGCTTTCACCATGCCCATTTTGCTATTGATTATACCAAGGATAGCACTCTTGTCCCTCTTGTTTTGTTTTGCAGCCTTTGCATCCAATATTGCCCTAAGCTTTTCATAGGACTTGGCATCTGGAACTTGCCCACTTTTTACCATCTGCTTGTGATAATAGAATGCCCTCTTAAAGTCACGAACCCGAACAAATGCATAGATCATGGTAGAATAAGTGACAGAATCGGGTTTTAGATTGAGAGCTGCCATCTCTTTCAATAGTTGTGGCAATTTTTGATGTTGCCCTCCACGTGCATACGCATTCATCAGCATATTATATGTCATCACTGTTGGTTGCAAGCCAATCTTCCCAAATTCAGAAACAACATCCCTTGCTTCTATATACTGACCTTGTTTAGCAAATCCATCAAGAAGAGTGTTAAAGGTAACCCGTGTGCCTTCAATTTTTTCACTGATCATCAACTTCCAAACTTTCATCAATGTTTGAGTATCACCCACACGCCTAAATGCATCCAATAGGGCAGTATATGTTTCAATGGAGGGCTTAATTCCTTCTCTCCTCATGTGCTCAAATGCAATATAAGCTTTCTCATGCCAACCACTGATGGAATAAGCATGGATAAGAGATGTATAAGAATGTGAAGTGGGCTTTAGACCAACTTTTTTCATCCGCAAGAATGCATCTGCAGCCCTGTCACTCATCTTCTTCTGCCTCCCATAAGCACTAATCAGGCAAGTATATGATTTGGCATTTGGTTTCAAGCCCATATCCTGCATTTCTTGCAACAGCTTCTCAACAATCTCCGGCTGCATTCTTTGGCTGTATGCATCCATAAGTACGTTAAAGGTAGCAGATGTGGGCATAAGGTGTTTTGCTTTCATCTCAGCAAAGAGGCCTTCCACTTCCTCAATTCGGTTCGACTTACTATAAGCATCCATCAAAGTGTTGTACACTATGGTATTTGAAGGAACCCCTTTCTTCTCCATTTCTGTTTGGATAATGAGGGCTTCATTCATCAGTCCTTCATCACAGAACGACTTTATTATTGCCCCCAAAACTTCAGCACTCCATTTAACTCCCTTCCTGTTCATTCTATCAAAGAACTCCCACGCATCTTTTGCACTACGCCCCGTTTTCCTCATAATTGTAATCATTATAGAGCATGTAACATGATCTGGTTGGACATTGTTCGCTTCCATTGCCTCATACACTGTCCAAGCATCATCATACCTATACAGATTGTAAGGAAATAAGAAAATACTACTCCTACCAGTTACATAAATAGTAAAGAACTGTTATTACCAAGCAACCACATTTATATTCTGCAAAAATGAAACCTGCCAAAAGCTTACCTTTTAGAGCACAAAAGCCCGGAAATGGCGGCATTGTAAACATGAACATCTCTAAAAGCCTTACTCAGCGGCAAATTCCTGAACAAAACCATCAACTTATCACCCATTCCCGCTCTCCCCAACGCCGGAAACAGAATCGAACAAGCTCGCGGCGTAACAAGAGAAGGCTCCTGCAAACCCATCCATTCAAAAAAATACAAGCACCCCAAAACAAGACCTTCCTTTCCCATTAAAACCAACACATCTAAGCACTCCTTTTCACTCAACTTCCCTTGAAAACTTCCCAACAAGTCTCCCAATGTCGAATTCTCGGGTAAGTTCTTCGCAATTCGTACAATTTCTCCCACAATGCCTTCAGGCGTAGAATCTGTTTGTTGTTTTGCTTCTGACAATATATTTTCTCCATCAGACTCAGGTATGGTGTCAGATTCAGGGTCAGGAAAGGATCCAATATCCGGCGCCAGGTGCCAAGAAGAACGGCGGTTCTTTTGGAGGGAGAATCTGCCTTCGCGTGGTGGGTCAGGAGTTGAGGGGCGTGACTTAAAGAAATTGATAATTGGGTCTTTTATGTCATCATCATCATCTTCTTCTTCTTCTATCTTGTTTTCAAGTTCTTGGGATTTGGGGTCTTCGGTTTCTAGCTCTTGTTGTTGGGGTTCCTGAAGGAAAGGAAGGAAAATAAGGGAGGAGGAGTTAGAAGAAGGAGGAGGAGTTGCAAAAATGAAGAACGAAGGAAAGGGTTTTGAGGTTGATAGAAAGAGGGGAGGTTTCGAAGAAGGCTTATTTGGGAAGTGAGTGTGAGAGATGAAGGAGAACGAAGAACTCAAGGTCTGCTGAGTAAGGGACATGGCTAATGGCTTTCCGCATAGATATTTCAGTTCAGTGTATTAGCTCATACAAGCGCTGTGCTGTTAAAATGGAGCGCGCTCAGGCCTGGCAAAACGCACCGTGTAGGTGGTTGACAAATGATAACAAAGAAACGGCATTGGGCTGGTCGTTTGACATCATGAGCCTGTTTCTTCGGGTCATCCTTCGACTGAATTTGGGCCGACGAGGATCCATTTACGAATTAGAAGTTTTTGCTAAGATGCATTTGGGGTATAAATTATTACTTACTAGCGTAGTTCCCGCGTAGCTAAAGGGTCCAATTGGATGAGGTTAGATTCCGGTAAAATTGAAAGCAACAATGCAAGGTGAGATTCTTCGGTGAAAATGAAATCAGCAATATAAATATTATTATAAGAAAAAAAAAAGTTAATGTAATTATAATTAAAAAAATTTTATAAAAAAATTTATATTGAATGGACCTTATTAAAATTAAATTTAAATTTAACTGCAATGAAAGTTCACCGCACTTAAGGTGCAATGAATCCAAACCCCCACTAGGACTGAGAGAGCAACTTTTGCTTAAAAAATGGTTTGACAATTTTAACCACTGAAAACAAATTAAAATCAATACAATTTAAAATTTTAATAAAAACCATAATATAAATTTAACAGAAATTAAAAATATCTTATTTTTTTGTTGCAACACAAATTATTACATAACAACTTTCATATTTTAGAAATACAAGAATCCAGCATAGTCATTTGACCGAACATTGCAAAATTTTAAATGTAGGCGTACAAAATTAAAAAAAAAAAAAAAAAATGTCGACCGAGGGTAGTGACTTCATTCACAATTCTCTTAAAACTTATGTAGTAATAGTGCTTTAACCTTCCATCTCAAGGCTCATTCACAATCGCTTCCTTTGCTTTAACTAATATAAGAGAAAACTAAACCATGTTAGGCCTTTGGGGAAGCAGAAGATTGTAGAACTTATCATGTAAAAAAAACTCTTTCCCTTGCTATCAACAGATTTTTTCCATCCACACCATCCGCCGTTTACGATTTTCTTAAGATCATCAGTTCCTGTGTAGTGGGGATCTAGTATAAGAAATGCAGAGTCTCCAGTAGCTTCATTGTAATCTACTCCTAGAAGGGTATATGCAAGAACACCACCACCTGCATCCACAAAAGTTAAAACCATGTGATTAGAAATCATGTTACTTTTCTGATAGAAAACAGCGGGCCACTGCACGGATTGTTGGGCATGATGGTACCAATCCAAGAAACATGAACTTTACCAGAGAAAGACCTCAAGTACGTGGCAATAAATTTAAAAAAAAAAAAGGTTTGTTCTCACTAATTACCGATCATAATTGGTGTTCCTTGATTTTCGAAATGCAATGCCAGCTCTCGACATTTTTCAGGAAGCTCAGATCCAGACCTAACGTTCATGACTTTGCAACTGACCTGCAAAAGATAGCATCTTGTCAAAAACAGGTAGAAAAAGTGCAGAAGTGCCAAAAGTACATTTAACAAAGTCTGAACACAATTCCACTATGGTGTTTCACTTCATATCTAATGTTAATGAAGTATCCTAAGATTTTATTAACGATAATTTTCTGAAATAGAACAGTATACTTACACCAAGAAGTTTATCCAAAACAAAGCTCAGCTCAATAGCACCAATCCATTCACGCGACCCAATGAAAGAAGGATCCTTGTCACCAATATCTACAAGAGCCTGTTGTATTTCCCTAAGAAAAAAAGTGCTATGTTTATCAGTAAAATCCCCGTATTTCATCAGCACTCAAAAGTATAAGACTATATTCAAGCAACAGTATCTTTAAGCAGAGATTAACAGACCAAACTTTTCAATAATCAGTCCATATGAAGCATAATCATGGTTTTTAATCAGATGTTAATGAGCTAAAAGTGAACATGTATACATGGGACTATCAAAAAGAAAATGGAAAGGAAACAGTGATAAAAATTTTAGAAACCTTAGCTTGCTAGCCATTTCATACCTGTGTGAAGGAACATGTATGGATGAATAATGTTGGAGTCTGAACCATGAAATAATAGTCTGCAGAGAGCGGTAAGCACAACCCCATCCCTAGAAAGTGATCTACATAGGTTACTCGGAGAAACATAGGAACAAATGATGATCCCCATCAAAATCAAAAGAATATTCAATTTATTGTAAGAGAGAAGAAGACATAACAAAGAATAAAATATGCTAAAATAATGCAAGATTAGGAATGTATGAATGAACATCATTGATGATGAAACAGGTCTAACCAGAAAAACTGCTTCACAACTTGTTGACAGCACTGGCAAATCTAGAAAACCATTAAAGAAAGAATACTTCTGCTTGCACAACCATGCATAAAATTGTGCCTTGAGAATTCTACCTCTTGATGTGCATATCATACAATGTTCAATGCACATTCTAATACCATGGATCTCTAACAGATAACTAACCCGGATGCATGATAATTCTCATGTCAGACCAGCAACTTGTTAAAACTGTAAGAATTATGAAAGATGCTAAAAAAAAAGAAGAAAGTCCCATACTGAATCATCAAGGCCATCCTGAAGATAATGATAGTACTCATAAGAACCTTGAACCAGAGAGACAATGCCTCCTGAGACTGCACAAAAAATGGAAAATTCATTTTCTTTTTCCTAAAAAATAAGTTAACAATGCCGAAGAGAGAGGAAAGGGTAAAAACAGAAAAAGGAGATTATAGCAACTAACCCCCACTGCTCGGAATCCCAATATGCACATCTTTAAGCAAAGAAGAACCTGATATTACCACAAACATAAGCTGACAAAATTAATCTGTAACATAAACAGAAAAAAAGAGAAAGGCAGTGATAAACAAATGCCGAAATTTCTATTATGAATTTTATTTCAACAATTACCCCTTCTTGTTGAGCTGTCGCTTGAGCAGTCTTTTGTTGACAAATCCAGGGCATTGGCAATTCTTAAGAGAGGACGATCAAATGGCAACCCTAGCCTTTGATGAAGGGATCTTCGGGCATCAACTGACAAACATAAATTACAACTAAGCTAAATCAAGATGAGGTCCAGAATCAGAGTTATAATTATAAATTTTTAATACATTATTGATATCACTTCAGACCATGATATAAGCTAGTAGCTTAGTTTCTCATCAAAACCTTTCTAGAAAACAGTATACGGACTTTTATATAAGCAAAAACAAATGTTACTAATAGTAGAAAGATTTTTCTTCATTTGCAAGGTTGGGAAGCAGTTCATAGCAAACCCTAATACTTGTCTGATATTGTAACAATGCACCATAGAAATAAATCGCTTTTTCCTCAAGAAACAAAATTGGTTTAATTGAGTGATATATATAAACTGGTTGCACAGTTATGGCTTTCCAAAAGATCCCAACTTATTCAACAAAGGCAAGCAAAGCAGTAGCTTTATTTGTAGATATGATACAAGAGGAGAAAAAGGTAATAGATGTGCTAGTTGACGGTATTTAACTTTACATCCCTTGAATAACTACAATGGCTGATTTCTGCTATCCCACTTACAACTCAGGAATACTTCAATAGAATCAAAAGTTTTAAATTTATCAAGTACCTTGCTTCATTTCAGTCTCCCCATAATTAAGTTCATAGATAACAGTTATTGGATGCACTATGCCAGGCAGACTAAAGTGATATGGATATAGCTGCAAAATGCAATTAGTTTCAAGTTATTTGTAGAAAAAGATCAAATTCAAGAACAAAGATGTTTTAGAAAAAATAATTAACTATTTGAGGAACTAAAACATTAAATCATTTCAGTGACCCTAATCTTACATCTAATACATTAAAGAGGACACATGTATCCCCCCCTTCAAATACATGCCCATATTTATTTTTCTTTTTTGCTTTTTCCTTTCCTGTTAATACAGTTGATAACACACGACATTGTTTTATAAAGAATTACCTGTGGATGTTGTGTTAACAGATTAGGCAAGGTCATCTTCTTCATTGAATTTAACTGGTCAATTAATCCAGGGATGATTAATTTTGAAATAGCATGCATCAATGGGATGCCCTGGACCGTGTAGCAGAGTACATCTAACTTTAAATCCACAATCAAGAGTCTAGCTTCCTCCATGGCTGATAGAAGAAAATGTATATAGAGTGAGACAAAAGCTTGACTAGGAACCAATGTTTATAAAAAAGTATTAAATGAAATAAACAAACATAAGCAGCAACTGTCTTGAAATTGAAGGCAATACCTGGAAAGTATTCCACAGTGGGTGCACTGCATTTTGGAGACTTTTCAGATCTATTAAGCAGAACACTTATTTGGATTATATCTGCATTCTAAGTGGAAACAAATTTCAGAAAAACTAATTGCAACAGCCATGGTAAAAGATGAACAGAATGCGGTATAAAACAACCTACCAAAAGGAAATCAACTATTTAACCCTGTTTATAAAAGTATGATATGGGATAATTCTTATGCTAATTTCTTTACCTCTGCAGAAAACAACTCAAGGGTAGATTTACTCTTCAAGCAATAGTGTGCACATCGTAAAAATTTTTGGTGAAAATTATCAACAGCTTCGTCCAAAACCTCAATGTTTTGGATAGCTGTGTCAAAATCCAATTCTGCACCATGAAGAATGACAGGTTGAACTACATCTAAAGAGGCTTTACTTGATGCTTCCGCCATATACACAACATTTGGATCTTTGAACTTAGCAATAACTCCTTCAATTGCATGCGAGAAGATATTTCCCACGTCTGAATCACATTAAGAATCTTGCGTCGTTAAAAGGAGAAAGGAAAAAAATCTAACAAGTCCAAGCATAAAAGGAACATAAAATAATTATGGCAATATTTCCAACAAGCACATATGCACCACACAATGAAGAGTTTCATATCCAGATCTGCAACCAACATGGTAGAATAACCAAGCTCAAAAAATCCTTTCAAATTAAGGTTGCTTCACCAACCAAGTCTGTACTCTAATCTTAGTGACTAAATGCGTATGTATATAGCACATATAACCTCCACCTAAAATCACTTGCCAGCTCCAAGTTTATCATCTCTAATTGTCCTTGAAATTCGACAAACATTTAACTACTCCCAAATACGTGCTAACGTGATCTCTACAAATCGCATTACTCATTTCATAAGCAACAAATGTCAAATATCACTAATTCTCAATTATCAACAAATTCTAAGGAAGTACTTAACAATTTCAACAACTAAACATCCACATTGATATAATGTCACACCGCCATACACTGCATAGCTGATTTGACAAGCATTCAACCATTATAGAGAAGTGGTACACATTAATTTCAGGAATCAATAAAACATGAATAAATAATGCAAATATTTGAGCTAAACATGGACAAATCCGATAAGGAAAAGAGGCTACCAGAAGGCTTGTTTACAGGAAAACAGAAGGGCAATCTAATCGGAAGCTCGCAGCGAAGTAAACAACCACTCTCCCACACGAATTTCTCAGGATTATCATCGTAGAAAACAGACTTAACTAACTCGAGGCTCGTCGAACTCTCAGTCTCCGAAACAAAGAAACGAATCTCCCCCGAATCGGGATCAGCAACGGCTCCGATTGTCTCTTCATTTACCGAACTTTTCCTTGCAGATAAAACCTTCCTCAATTTCCGAGCAGCGTCAATTGCCCTCGACGCCGTCTTTTCGGGATCGGATTTTCCAATGATTAACGCTCCAATTACATCGAATCCTTTCAACAGTAGCGTGTTGATTTCCTCTGCTCCAGTTCGAATCAAATGAGCGAAATTTTGGTAAAAGAATAAATTAAATATGAAATTGAGATTTTCCAAAAGAGAGTTTCGATATTTACCTGATTCCTTGTGGAAATCCGGGCCCGAGGAATCGGAATGGATGCATCTGAAGGTGGAGACGATGGTGAGTGGAGGGAAAAACGGGGATCCGATTAGCCATTGGAGATACGATTCGTTTCGGCTGATCAACAGCTTAGGGCACTCGACTCGTATGCTTCTATTGTTCTTCTCCATGGACTACACGAAGGCAAAATCAGAACTCGGATTCAAACCGACGTGAATTTGATGTCGGTTTTTTGGGCCGGGCTTTCCTCTTATTGGGCATTCGATCCATTTCAAATTTTCTGAAGCCTAAAGGCCTTTATCTCCAAACGGCGTCGTGAGTTGGATTTTACCCAAAAAAGGTTAAAACAAAGCACCTAGATTTTCTTAAGCCACTGTCTCTCTCGCTAGCTTCTCTCCGCTCGTTTTCTGTACCAAAGCTCAAACCCTAAAACCCTTGCCATGGTTCGCACCGTTTCCAGAACAGCTACCGGCCGCGAATACAAAGTCAAGGACATTTCCCAAGCCGACTTTGGCCGCCTCGAAATCGAGCTGGCCGAGGTCGAAATGCCGGGCCTCATGGCTTGCCGTGCCGAGTTTGGCCCAACCCAACCCCTCAAAAACGCCCGCATCACTGGTTCCCTCCACATGACCATCCAAACCGCCGTCCTCATCGAAACCTTGACCGCCCTCGGCGCCGAAGTCCGCTGGTGCTCCTGCAATATCTTCTCCACTCAAGACCATGCCGCCGCCGCCATTGCCCGTGACTCCGCCTCTGTCTTCGCTTGGAAAGGCGAGACCCTTGAAGAATACTGGTGGTGCACCGAGAAAGCTCTCGAGTGGGGCCCCGGTGGCGGACCCGATTTGATCGTTGACGATGGCGGAGACGCTACCTTGCTAATTCACGAAGGGGTTAAGGCGGAGGAAGAGTGTGAAAAGAGCGGGAAGTTGCCGAACCCGAATGAGACCGAAAACGCTGAGTTTCGGATCGTTTTGAGTATTATTAAAGAAGGGTTGTTGGTAGACCCCAAAAGATATAGAAAGATGAAGGAAAGATTAGTTGGAGTTTCAGAAGAAACTACCACTGGAGTTAAAAGATTATACCAAATGCAGGCTAATGGGACTCTTTTATTCCCCGCCATTAATGTCAATGATTCTGTTACAAAGAGTAAGGTTAGAGTTTATTAGCTTTTGTTTTGATTCGTTTGCCAAGTCATTGAAATTGACATGGGTTGATAAAAAATTTTTATGAGGTGATGAACTGTAAATTTTTGTGTTGTTTGATTGACATTATTAGCCTTGATGATATGCTTGAGGTTTAAGAAATTTTGGGTTTTGTGTTAAATGCAGTTTGATAACTTGTATGGATGTCGACATTCGCTCCCTGATGGTCTTATGAGAGCCACTGATGTAATGATTGCTGGAAAAATTGCTGTTGTTTGTGGTTATGGAGATGTTGGGAAGGGTTGTGCTGCTGCTCTTAAGGCAGCTGGTGCTCGTGTGATTGTGACAGAGATCGATCCCATTTGTGCTCTTCAAGCTCTAATGGAAGGTATTCCGGTTTTCACATTAGAAGATGTTGTTGCTGAAGCTGACATTTTTGTGACTACCACTGGAAATAAGGATATTATTATGGTTAGTCATATGCAGCAGATGAAGAACAATGCGATTGTGTGCAACATTGGCCATTTTGATAATGAGATTGATATGCTTGGTCTTGAGACTTATCCCGGTATCAAACGGATTACTATCAAGCCTCAAACTGATCGATGGGTCTTCCAGGAGACTAATAGGGGCATCATTGTGCTTGCTGAAGGACGTCTCATGAATTTGGGTTGTGCAACTGGACATCCCAGCTTTGTGATGTCTTGCTCGTTCACAAACCAAGTGATTGCTCAGCTTGAGCTGTGGAAGGAGAGGGGAACAGGCAAGTATGAGAAGAAAGTCTATGTGTTGCCCAAGCACTTGGATGAGAAGGTTGCTGCACTTCATCTTGGGAAGCTTGGAGCTAAACTTACCAAGCTTACTCCTGAGCAAGCTGCCTACATCAGTGTCCCTGTTGAAGGTCCTTACAAACCTCCTCATTACAGGTATTAGAACTATAGATGTCTCGGGGATTGCCCGATTCATTGTTATTATTGTCAGCTTTTAAGTTGTGTTTTATCCATGTACTAGTTCAGTTAGCTCGTGTTTTATCGTTATACTAGTACGATCCATATAGATTGATCGATGATGGTTTGGTAGAAGTTTGTTGTTTTGGATCAATATTTTGTTGATTGGAGTTAATTGTGGATAATATTGGTGGATGCGTTCCTATTATACTCAGTTGTATCCTTTCGTGTGTCCTTGATTTCTGTTCGATTGTGTTGTGCCAATATTTACCCCACATCAGAGAGAATTTCTTTGCTTGAACAAAGAGGCATAGAGGTGAGTAACAAATATCAGTGAACAAATAATTTTCCTTCTATTATCAGTTGGCAATCGCCGACAATCCCCATCAAAAGGTTCGACAAGAACAAATTCATCTTCATTGAATAAAACGGCTTTTGAACTTCATCAATGATGCATAGCATGAGACAGTCGACATTGATCGTTTTTGGCTATACATAAGAACGCCTTGTCTATGCCCTCTTCTAACATGTACGATCAAGATTTTGTTTACAATATTTATATACTTACAAAAATGTGTAAGCCTCTACAAACTTGCTGCAATGCCATATATGGCGGGGAGCTACTTGGCAGTGGAGCAAGGAAGAAGCCAATCTACCAAGTGTGTTCTGCGATGTTGACGAGTCAGCTGCCAAGCCTGCATTATTCATGGGTTAGAATGATGTATGTCCACAAAAAGACAAACCTGCCCCGACCACACAGCATAGCATGCCCCCCTCTCCATGTAATACTCGAGAAAATTCATTACCTTATTTAAGGAAAATGTTGGGGTTCTCCAACAACGTACCGTAGAGTTCTCCCTCAATCTGCCAAAAGTGTAAATTTGAAGATAAATCAGTCCAACATTGCATCTCTCAAAAATGAAAAGACATGAAGGCAGTAACATTCATATGTAACTTCTTACATGTCCTCATTGTCAGAGCAGTAGAAAACATAGGAGTCATTGGAACAGAGGGGTTTTTCAAAAGATGACATCCCCGGAATAGATAAAGCAAGTTTGTTTTCTTCTAGGTTACTCGCAGAAATCATTTTAGCACTCTCTGACAAATGCACCTTCTTCTGAGGCCTCAATGCTCTAGGGAAACAATTTGGCTTATAATCAGGCTGCTCTTGACCAGAAAGAATCTGGCATTCACAGTCCCTTCCTTCTCTTTTTGAAGAATCAACTCCATATGCAAGAGTCAGAGATGTATCGTCTCGTAATGATCCACAAGATGGGGTTGCCCCTGTACTCAGAATGTTTCCATCACTATTTCTGAAAGCCCTAACAACTTCCCTTCCATGAGAACAGTTGTGAGGTATTTCAAACCCATGATCTGTGTAATAAGTTAAAATAGGTCCCTCACTTATCATAGGTTTTTCAGAGGCATACTGTGATACCTCAGTATCACTTCCACTCCTTGTAGATGATCTTGACTTCAGATGTAGCCTGCGCAGACAACTAAACAAACTAAAAGATGGTTTTCTTAGTTTTACACACTTGGAGACTGGATCAGTAACAGAAGGATTAATCCGAATCTCCACATTACAGCCCACTATCAACTGAAGTGAACTTGCAATATGTTTCCATGATTTTTCAGCCCTAGATACATGTCTAGGATGGCCGAATTCTAGTTCAGCAATAGCCATACCTGAATTCAGAGAAATACTAAATCATCAGTAATGGAATGAGAAAAGCTAGCATTTAACTTATCAAATGCTCATAGAGAAGATAATAAAGAGAGAGATGCAAATTCAGAAAACAAGGCAAAGTGATCCAGTACATAACTAATATAGATTAAGAGAAAGGCACTAAAACTTTCATTGAACTAAGAAGAGACACCAAACAGAGATAAAATAAAGTTTCCTGAAAATTCTAGTAGCCACAATTCAACAAAGTTTCTGCCTAGTACAAACAGGTGCGATGATCTGAACATATGCTCAAATAAGATAAAGGATAAAGGGTGTCTAAAGCAATGGATAATGACCGGAGGAAAAACCCAATAGTAGTTGATTTCAACAGTGGATGTATCCATGCATCAAACACCGACAAAAAGGGTCCATTAGATCAGAGGTAGATGCCAACATAAGGAATTTTTGAAATGTGGGATGCTAGGTAATTGCTTGAAACAGGGACTTGCTCATTTGGCAAATAAGATGTGAAACTCAGGCAATAAATCCAGGAGGTAGATCAGGAGCCTGCCAGCCCTTATTGAAAAAGGTTAATGTGCATCTATCCTAGATACTGGTTGAAAACAAAAAACCAGATTCATGTACCTTGATTAACACAAAGAGAAGACAACTTCCCTTGTTTCCTCAGAAATTTCTTAAGTGAACTGGATTGGCATAATTCTGTTGCTCTCTTCCATGTAGATTCCAGCCTTCTCTCAGAATCATCCTGTTTCCCCGATTTAGAGGAGTTATTGCCATTACATATACAAGTGAAGGGATGATTTGACCTCTCCCCAGTGGATGATGTGCTCTTAGAATCACCTTCTGCTTCCAAATAAGAAGACCTTAATAAGAGAGCTTCTCTTTACATTAAACTAAATTTGAAACTTACTGTACAATTTGTACTAATTATAAGCATGCTGACCTTTGTGTTGAGTATTTGCTGAACATAATTTCGAATCATTCGTCTCCAGAAAATTAGATTCCATAGAGCTTAGTTGCAAAAGAGCAACAGTGAGCCAAGTTGTTTGATTCTTGGACATTCTCAAATGCTTCTCCGTTTCAGAAAGTGTTCTCAGTGCATGAGTCAACTTCTGTAGGTCCACTTCGGCTGTGACAACAATTTAAAACACTTAAAACAATAGAACCATCAACCAAGCAACAAGGAAGCAGGGGGGAGGAAAAAGGTTAACTTTAAGATTCATAATAGTTGCTGTTTATACTTGATCATTCCACATACTTAGTGAACAAATTCGCAAGAATGTTTGCTTCACATTTTTGCAGGGCAGTGTTTAGATTTTACAGAAAGTGTCTCAAATGGTTTTGTCATCAGCAAGACCAAATTGTAAAGGTAACTTAATCCAAACTGAAGGCACTAGATGATGTGAGAACAGCATAATAGAATTACAGATTCAAATCTTAGGAAAAGATATGAATTGCATTATTACATGGCTTTCAATAAGGCTAAATGCTTCTATCAACGATGCTTGAATCCTTTTATCTCCTCGTTTAAGTACTTTTAATTAGCCTTCACCCTTTTTCAACATCCAATGCTCAGTCAGCCATGTAGAGCAAAGAGTTGAGTTTTGAAAAAATGGGCTTTACTATAGAAGCCAGAAATTTTTCAAGCAACCCTGATTTTTGTAGGCATACACTCCTAAAGCATCATTTCACATCACCATTGAATCCACATACTAGAAGGAAAAAATAAGAATTTTTAAATAACAATCTGTTGCATGAATCTGTGGAACTTACAAGTATGCTTTCTGGAAAACTTTCTTCTGGCTTCGGAACTACCTTCCTCACATTTACCCGCAAGAATGTCCATAATGAGATTTGCTAGCTGTGATATAAGTTGCATAGGATCAATTTTTGATCTCATGAGCTCCCTGGCCCTTATTACTGTATTTGAAGTGTCACAAGATAAAGCCAGATCCAGCAAATCAAGCAATTCATCATCAGAAACAGTTCCAATCTGCCCCCCCCCCCCCCAAAAAAAAAAAAAAACAAATAAAACTTCAGCGTTTTAGATTGAAAGAGCAGCACCGCAAAAGATAATAAAAAGAAAACCTCAAAGAACTCACAAGCTCATAGGTCAAGGACATTGTGATCTTTTTACCAAGCAAACTCAACTGATCAAGCATCATCTCTGCATCCCTTAGTGAACCATTGGATTTAGCAGCAATGAAGTCTAAAGCAACCTGATCATAGTCAAGACCTTCTTCAACACAGATTGTCTCCAACCTGTTTGAAATATCAGAATCTTTTATCTTTGGAAAGTGATACTTTTGGGACCGAGAAACTGCACTTCTTGGCAGCATATCAAGTTCGGGAGTAGTCATAACAAAAACAATGTGCTGGGAAAGTTTTTCTAGGCTGTTTAAAACAGTTGCCCATGTCTCAACGTTCAGCAACTGGCACTCATCGATTACGAAAATCTTAAATCGTGACGAAACTGGAGGAACAACTGCATTCTTAACAAGGGACCTCAACCTGTCCATGCGATTGATTCTCAAAGAATCAACCTCCTTGACATCTCTGCTCCTGCCAGAAAAGAACAAAATGCATTCTCGACATCGACCGCATGGCTTATGCTCCTCTAGCGAGAGGCAATTTAAAGCAGCAGCAAAAATCCTTGAGGCAGAGGTCTTGCCCGTACCACGAGGACCATGGAAAAGGTAGAAAGAGGTTACTCTTCCCTTAGAGATGGCACTCAAAAGAGACCTCACAACAACATTTTGTCCTACCAATTCATCAAAAGATTTTGGCCTGAATTTTTGACTTAAGCTCCTAGGAGTGTCTGAATACGGATTAATTTCACCATTAATGCATTTCCAGAAGCTCTGTCCACAAAGAGTTGTCTCACCCGTATCACCAGACAACAAAGGGAGGTCTTCAAAATCAGTGGAAGGATTTGATTCTCTCAGTCTTGGAGTTTTTGACCAACAGTAGCTTATCCCACATCCACGGTGGTTGCTATCAGCAATGTCAACATCTTCATCCACGTATAATGAGGTATTACGATTCGAAACAACATCAATAGATGGGCATGGGCTTCCAACACGGCTTGCCACATCACCATTTGTCTCGTATAACTTCACTTGATTCCGAGATTGAGATTTCTGTTTTGGAGCGCAGTGATTAACTCTCTCCATTGGTGAGGATCCTACAATTGGTCCATTGCATGAATCTACATCCTCCACAGAATTACAACTAGAAGTCATGCATGTCATTTTCATACCATTTTCCTTGAAATTGCTGTAATATCTTTCACCCAACGGTCTGTTTCTGTGGACCTCTTCCATGTTTAATCCATAATCCTTAAAATCACCCAACTCACTTACCAGCTTGTCCCTAACAGGAGAAGCAGTCATGTTCCCGACCTGTTCCACATTCTCACATGTGATCAACTTAGAGTTAGAATTTTCTGGAACAGAATGCAACCCAAAATCATAACCTTGCTCCTTTCTTCGTCCATCAAATCCTAAACCTTCCGGACCTCGAAGTTCATTATGGTCGGAACCAACTTCTGGGCAACCATTCACAAATTGCAAAGAAATCCCATTGCTCGAATTGGTTTCCCACTTGACATTGTCAAAAAAAGAAGAGAATTTGCTCATCGAATTAGTAGAAGGATCCCTTAATGACCTCACTCTCCTAAGTGCTATAAGGGTTCTTGTGATAGGTATATCAACAGAATGTCTGCGCCCATCCATTGTCTTCAAAATAACCACAGATATGGTAGAGAAGTATCAAAACAGCTTTCTTTGCTTCAGCATAAACTTATATTACAGGATCTAGTAGCATGAAATGGATTCTCAATCTGAAACTAAATTTAGAACAATAAAAGAATCAGAATAGAGACATTGTATCAACCATTAAACATTCTTTAAAGCAAAATTTAAAAAAAAAATGAACATAAACAGTAGAGAATCTCAATATGTTTCATTTTCTGGAAAATCCAGGTTTGTGAAACCAGAAAAAAAAAAAAAAAAAAACCAAAATGTTTCAGAAAACCAATTTTTTTTTATTAAATGAAAGTATCAAAACCTTCTAAAGATTATCTCTTCAGAGCACATTCCACAAAAGTCCCACAAACAAGCAAGAACCATGTCATTTTCATGAGATATATACACACAAAATCCAAAAAATCCAGTGCATTTTTCCAGTACTTTCACTAAAATCAAACAGAAAAAGTTGAAATCTTTGACATTAGAGGAGAAACTCAGCTAGCTATACTTACCTTCTTCACAAAAAGCAAAACAAAAGAACTCAATAAACCATGGAACCATTGCCAATAACACGAGTAACGACTAAAAGGCTGGAACTTTGCATTAAATAAAAGAAAACTCCATTCAAAGTTCAAGAATCTAAGAATTCAAAATTTCATACAACCAAACAAAAAAGTCTAAAACAAATAAATATATATAAATGCAAGTAAAAACAAAGAATGCAGAAAAAAACACAATTGAAAAAACCACCTCAGACCTGTCGGATGGACTATATATGGAAATGGGAATGGGGGGTAGTATCAACTCTCAACTCTCAAGTCATCGAAGTTCACGAAATTTGAAAGTCAGCGTAAAAAGCGGGATACATTATTAAAAAAAGAAAACCCCAAAGGCTAAAGGAATTAAAAAGTGAACTAGCTGGTCTTGGTGGTTGAGCTTTTTGATTTGAAATGGAAGAGCAAGACAGAAGGGGAGAGGATGGGGAAGAAAAGGGTAAGTGGCAAAGTAGTAAATGCCATTAATGAGTGAGGGTGATAATGAATAGAAGAAGAGGAAGGAAAGGAGCTCTCACGTTGTTTTTATGACATGTTTGTCTGTAAGAAAAAGTGTTTTTTTTAATTATTATTTGTTTTGGCAGAAATTCTTTTGTAGTTTGTTCCATCTGCTGCAGAGTGTTGCAGAGAGGTGAGTAGAGGGGTGAGGGGAGGGAGGGGGTCTCGTGTTCTCGGCCTGTGAGCCTTATGGCAAGGGGTAGTTTCGTCATATTTTAAACCGGGCGGTTTCAGTTAGTTTTCTTTGTGGGGTTTCGAATGAGGAAAATGTTCTGTCACTCTGGAAACTATTGTTTGGTTCGGGTTCTTTGGGTGACTTGGAAAGTTATTCAACGCTCCGTCAAGGCGCGTATTCACACCTTCTCCTATTTATTTACATTAAGTGTGTTCTAAATGCGTATAAATTGAAGTTTGGCTCGAAAATTTGAAATTCAATACTTATTTAAACTCAATCAAGTTTATTTTTCATATTTAAATTTGATTTTTAATTTAATTATATTATCTAAATTCAATTTGATAAATTTGATTAAATATAATAAAATTATAAATATTAAAATTAAAAATTATTATCATTTATTTACATATACATTAAATATATTAAAAATAAAAAATTCAATTAACTTCATGAATCTTTCAAATTAATATTATTTAATTTCAATGGACTTAACAATTTACAAGTTAAGTTTGAATTCTTGAGTTAAATTTAAATAATTAATTTTATTTATTAATAAATTTAATGATTTATTTATATTATATAAAATATTAAAATATTAAAATTTATATTATATTTTATATAAAATTTTTGTATTATAATTCATATTATTATGAAAATATAAAATTTTTTATTAAATTTATATATAATTATTATTAAAATTTTAAATTATATTATTTTTATATTTTTCATATTTTATTTATAGCATATACGATGATTTAAATGACCATATATGTATATATATATATATATATATATCCTCTACGAGATAGCCATTAGAAATGTGAAGGGGTCCACTTACAGCAAAGGCCTTTTAAATCTGTTGAAAACTTAACAATTTCTCTGGAGTCTTGAGTCTCCTGACAACTGAATTTCTCCACAGCTGCAGTACTTACTGTACCTTTTTCCATATTCATGCTCAAGGAGGGTCAGCTCCCTACCAAGTAGTGGCTTGACGAATAGATGGGTTGTGGTCCTCAACCCCTCATTTCGTCATTCGCGAAGGCTGAAGCTGCAAATGGAGTCAGCCAGGGGTCATTAAAATGTTTCAGAGAAAAGCTTGCTGGGTGTCTGTCTCGCTTTAAAACAAGGCTTCAATTTGTTGGAGATGGAAAGTTGTCTTTACAGTGAGACGAAAACAACCAAACTTGAAGAAACCAGAGAACAAACGAACACACTCAACAAGATCAGCTTTATTTTTTTTTTTTTGAGAAGGGTTTTGACGCCTACAGTTGTTCACAGAAGAAAGAGATTGACTGTTGATTAATGGCATTGCTCTTCTTGGTTGAATGGAATGAAATGATAATTGAGTTGACTAACAATTGTTGAAAAGAACTTCTGTATTTAGCTGCATAATACTACTCATGCAATTGGAAGGACAAGAATTTTATCCCTACAGCATTAATGGTCAGCTGAAGCTAGTGAAATTTTCCTTATTGCTTTTCCTTTTCCTTTCTCGCAAAGAAAAAAAAATGATAGTAATACTCCTAAGAGAGAACCCATTTTTTTAGGTGAAAAGTTAATACTAGTAGCATCATTCTTCACCTAAAAAATTATTAATATTATTGTTAGTAAATTTAATTATTCATGTATTTATATTATATAAAATATTAAAATTTATATATTTATATTATATTTTATATAAAAATTATATCATAATTTTATTGATATAAAAATATAAAATTTTATTAACTTTATTAAATTTATATATAATGATTATTAAAATTTTAAATTTTGTTATTTTATATTTTATTTTTATATTATGTCAGTATTATATTTTAAATTATAAATTTTAATTATTAATTATTAATTATTTTTTAAATATTTTGTTAGTTTAAATTTTAAAATATAAATGTTCTAATGGCTTATATGTTGACATCCTAAACACAATAGAGTAGAGTAGTGTAGAATAGTATTTAGCAGGTGAAGTTCATTTATTGTGAGGAAAGAAGCAATAAATGGTAAGCAGCGCCGGTAACTCTTTATTGGACAGTGTGTGAAATCTGTGAGAAGCCGACTAGCTAGCAGCTGCCTCCTTGGCCCTGCGGCCCCGGGGCCCCTGGCCCCTGACTTTCTACCCTACGCCACTATACCAATTTCCATGGGTCAAAAGCTACAGCAGGTTTTCATTTACAGTGTCGTGATATAAGAGAGGAATCATTAATTTTATATCAGTTGGCTTTTAGAATTCATCTTAAAATATAAATATAAATGTAACGTCAGTTATAATTTGTGAGAATTTTTTTATAAAATAAAATCATAAAATTTAATGAATTAAAATAAATAATATTTTAAAAATTAATATGAATTATGATATTTGAAATTAAAGTTAATTTTAAAAGTATTAACTATATGTTATCGAATAACTATGAACCTTCGATAAACTAAATAAAAAATCATAAATCTTATATTAATTATATATTTAAATTAATCTTAAATTTTAAATATTTACAGCATTTTAATTTATAAAATATATTTTATAAGATAAAAATTGTGACAGTGAATAAATCAGTCAATAACTCAAAGTTGGTTAGGAGCGTGACTAACCGGTTGAGATATTTTTTCATCTGCGACGAGTCATCGGTACCACTCACGTGATTTTTGTTTCTTTACTTCGGAGAAACGTGTAGTACTCTATGAGACTGAGTAGGCTGAGCTTGGCCGGCCTGGGCTTAGAAGTTAAGGACGAGGGCCTAGGGACAACCTGATCGTCTTGTTCAATTCCAAACTTGTCGTCTGGACCAAATCTGGAGGTTCATTTTCAGGTTTTAAATTTGGGTTCTATGATGTGTCTATTTTTCTTGTTTCTTATGTATTCAAAGCCAAATACATTGCTTTTTCACGCTTTTAATATTCCACATCTAACCTAGTTTAAGTCATCACTCAATTGTCATTATCAAGGGTACTCAAGGCTTCCATCTTTTTTCCAATTCCCCCTTCGTACATGTACAACTTTCGTTTCATTTGAAAACTCCAGTAAAAAATTCTCCTTGCACCAAAAAAATATACTTTATAATTGAATCATCATCCAATCACGCTTTCAAATAAGTAGGCGTTTGATTGTTATCGCACTTTCGACATGATATTGTATCATAAATTAAATTCAAATTTTAATTTTAATAAAATTTATTTAATATAAATTTTTATATAAATTTTATTTTTAATTATAATTATAATAATTTTTTAAAATCATAATTATAATAACTTTTATTATTTTTTTTATTTTTATTGAAACTACTCTTATCGTTTATTCATATTTCATATGGATTCTAATAGTTTCAATTTTCATGGATCGTTTCGATCTGAAATCATAGAATCTAATATCCATGCGAATGGATATATTTGTCAAACTCTTTCGGGCTGTTCTTCAGCTTGATGTATGAATGTGTGTCTTGACATGACGTTGGTTAAATTTTGAGGCTTTAAGTCTGCATATTGTAAGAGCATCCGAAGACTTTTGTGCTGGGCTTTCCAGCTCTTTTAGACGTGGCTACACATGCTTTGGCCGGTCAGAATTTGAGATGAAACAAAACAGAAAGAAAATGACAAATACAGAACAAGAAATGCTCATTATTTCTGTAAATCGGAAATTTGAGAAAACCCAAAAGGATCAAAGCCACTACTTTTCCTATCCTTGAAACAGGGCTCGTTTGGCATCTAGAGACAGTGCTGTAGGGCAGATTGCCATTGACGAGCACATTGTGTCGTGATCTTTATGTGATCTTTATCACAAGCTATGAATGTGAATTAAAGGTAAGTATGTGTTCATCGAATTTATTTGATCATCACATCTAGAAATGCTACCCACTGTAGTAACAAAGTCAATTGCATCACTGTTCGCTTGTCATGCGAAAAAAATGTCTCAATCTTTCGGGAGTATCATCATTTCTAAAGGATCCCTTAGCATAGTTGTCAGCCGGGCCTTTAATTTTGTGGTAGGCTTGTGTTAGAGGTAATAATAGATTTAGATCGAATTCGGTTCGTTTTTTGAAATATTGAATAATATTATAAATTTTTAAATTTAAATTTAATTTATTGATTTTTATTTTTTATTTTTTAAATTTTTTTATATTTTTTAATATAAATTTTGATATAAAATTATTGTTTTTATTTTATAAAAATTTAAAATATATATAAAAATTAATATATATATATAACTCGATTCAATTTAATTTTTTTTTTTTAGTTCGAAATTTGATTCAAACATAATATATATAATATCCAAACTTAATCTAAATAAAAAAAATTTTAAATAAAATCGAATACTATAATTTTAAATCAATTTTTTAATGTTTTGATTTTTTTTTTTTCACTTATACTTCATGCTAAACTTTCACCCTAATCTTGAGCCCTAATAATTTTAAATTTTAAAATTATCAAAAATTTAATTTTAATTATTCAAATTAAATATTAATATTTTGTCGATTAATTCGATGCTGAATTATTTAAAAAAAAAAAACCATATAGCTTTTAATTGATGGCATTTAATGCCGCAGGATCCTCTCCACGAAACTTCTAAAAATTCCTAGGAGGAAGAAGATTCCTCATGATGCAATGCATTTTTTAAATTACGAAAAGAAGAAAAAAAAAAATGAAAGTAGGGTCACAATGGGATTTCTTTGTTGGTTTATGCTATCTCCTTTACCCTCAATCTCTCGACAAATTGAGCATCTTACAATGCTTTTGCTATGAAGAAACTGGCTTTTAGATTTCAATAGCTTCAACCCCACTATCTGTGTTCTCAAGTGCTGATTGTGGATTATCTATTTGTTTCTCCATTGATCTTAAATTAACACCTTCAATTTGTTTCGAACAGCTTGAGATTAATAAGATTGAAGCATGTTTCGCCAGATCATGTTAAGAAAAATATTTGTAAAGCTCGGTGGTCACAAGACCGTTTTTGTTTTTGTTTTTTTTTTTATGATTGATTTTAATTGGTCAACGCAATTTTGGTGAGGCAGAATTTTTATTTTTTGGTAAAATAAATAATCAGTCATCTAACTATATTGATATTCTTGATCATTTAATTATTAAATTTGAATAATTTTTTTTTAATCATTCAATCGTTAATGTTTAATAATATGTTGAATGACACTATTACGTCATTTATTATGTGCCACATATTTTATCGTATTATTTAATATGTCACATAATATATTGATTAGCTATGTAAAAAATGATGTAAAAGCATCATATGACGTTATTGTTAAAGATTAACATATGAGTGAAAAAAATATTTACTCAATTTTAAGTGATTAAATAAAAAATAAATAATGTTTATTTTAAAAATTCATCCATGACTAATAATGTATTTTATCTTTAATTTTTTAATATATAAAATCTTTTTATTTATAAAAAAAAGGGGCATTTTCACTACTTAAAATTTAAAAATATTTTGTCATTGATGGAAATTACGAATATTCTGTTTTTAATATGATTATATGAGCAAACCCGTTGTTTTCTCTCTTCAGCATGAAAAATAATGAAGGTGTCAATGCCTTAAGAGGCAACATGTACTCATAATTCATACTGATAGTTTTAGGGTGGACCAATTTCATTTTGAGTTCTTATTAGATACTTCTAATTCACATCATCGTTTACCAAATGCCTATCTCTCAAGACTTCAAAAATTTTTCAATTTTTTAAGTTTATTTATGTATTTGCTATTTGTAGAAATAATATTAACATCGTCCAAAGCCAAAAATGGCTGATCAAAATTTCAATGCTTAGGTTTCAATCAAAATTCAAATTGGAAAACAAAGGGAGTTGTATTGATTTTGACATTACTTGATGTAATTCAATGAATATGTTAGGTGAATCCTTAGTCAATGAATTATTAAATCGTTTTTAGTCAAATTAAATGTTTTTCATTAAGAGTATTTATGTTTGATATAAAAAATGATAATTTTTTTCGATCATTTACACAAAGTAAAATTATTTTTTTGTACCCCATTTGAGTTTGTTCAAATTTTTTAAGAAACCCTAATCAAGGATAATGAAGTTTGAGAAACTTGTTTATGAAAAGAAAAGTGAAGAAAATTTTTAATTTTGATCTCTGAATTCTAGTTTTTGGAAAATTTTCAAAGTTTGGGTTACGTGATTTTTTGTAAATATGATTTTTTTAATTTGATCTTAAACTGTTTTTAAAATTTTGAGGTTAATTTCTAAGATATGTTATTAGGATTTTTTGTTGGATTTTATTAAATACTAAAATTAATTTTAAAATTAAACTATTCGAATTCGAACCTAACGATAACCTAAAAAATAATCTTCATTGCACAAAATGGAGAGATTTAGAAATTTACCTCACCATGTTTTGGACACAAAATCTCACACATTATCCATCATTAGAGGATTCCTCTAAAAATCCCTAGAAGAGGAGGTGATGATAACATGAAGCTAGCTAGGCCAAAAAGAACTCTTTTATATACAAAACACCATGACACAATTTTTTTCTCTTTCATAGTAAGAGTTTTAACTTACTACTCTCTTAAAGAACACACTAACTCATTTCCATACTAATTTAATATACAACTCAACATAATCTGAAGGTTTTGAAAACATGACTACCCATTGTTTCCCTCAGCTCCTCTTCTCTCTTCCTTTTAGCCAAAGATAGAGAAGATATAGCTTTTGCTGACAAAACCTTCCTCACAAGTAGCTTCCACTTTCCATCAGCACTCATTTTCTGCTGTTGTGCTTTCAATTTGAATTGCCTGTCACATTTACAAAAGCAAACAGTCTTAATGTTGATGATAATAAAAGAGAAGTTGGAGGAGTAATAATATCTGCAGGCCAACAATGTTTTGGTAAATGATGATTTGATATCCGTCGTTAAATGGAAAAGAAAGAAACAACGGGCCAAATTGCTCTAGAAAATGACACAAAGATGGGGGTTTTAAGACCCACCATGTTGATATTTTGTAACAGTAGGAGAAGAAGGCGAGCCATATCTTTCATTTTCTGATAAGAAAACTAGCTGGCAACAAGTATTTCCCAAAGATAATTATATTTGGGAGTTGTAAGAAGTGACAAGTATCCATCCCCTTCCAAACGGGTGCCAAAGAAGTGGTTCATTAGAGCCACATCTTCGCAATAAAATCTCCTGTCTAATTCGCTAAACAGAATATTTGCAACTAGATGTCCTGTCTTATCACTTCATATACAAAACACCAGGACACAACTTGAATGTGATCGAATCCCAAGTGGTAGATTTTATTGCAGGTAAATGATTTAAAGGGCCAAAAACAACCTAAAAAGAATTCTAGATAAGACCTGGGAAAAAAATCAGGTTCAATAATTTCTTATAACACGATTTGCATCTGCTTTTAAATATCTTAATCCTAACAATAAATTAAATGATTGATGTACTAAATCAGAAGCAATAATGATTTTAGTTTTACCTGCAAAGAGGAACCTTGCAAGAATCAGGCTGATCACAAATGGAGGAGTGGAGTCTAAGAAGCTGCCACATCCGCTTGCACCGATAGCACCCTCCTCCATTAGACCTTCTCTTGCACAAAGCAAAGTGCTTGATCAACATCTGGACACCGTGGCACGTTGTGTATTTGTTGCAGGGGCCTGTTTTCTTTTCAGGTTCCATGTCGTACGGCCCAACGGTCGTGCACCCTTCCGTGAATATGTGCTCTAAACACTCCATTGCCTCGCTTAGCTGTAAATACAAGCTCTGTTCTTCCCTGTGCCGCCTCGTTCTGTTTTTCCTCTGCCAAATTATATCATTTTTCAAAAACCATTTTAACCAATAATGAAATTGTAATTATTATTATTATCAATGGGGTAATTTCTTTTTCTTTTTTTTTTAATTACCGATTCAGTTTCATCGATGAATTTGAGAATCTCAAGTTCGAGCCAGGGGTCATGATCCTGCATGAATTTCCAGCCTTCGGTTTCCTCCACAGACTTGAAATGGGCGGCGATCTGCTTCATGCACTTGAGGTAAAGATCGGGTACGTCACAGAGCCTGGCGAGTTGGAGCACGTCCACCACATTCTCGACCGTCAGCCGCTGACTCACTCCCCTGGTGCACCTCTGTTTCAGCCGTGGGACCGAGTAAACATGTGACAATGCCAGCAGGTGAATCCCATATTTCTCCATTTGTTCCTCCGAGCACCTATTAAAATACCATCGTCATTTCCATAATTCAATTTTGACATTAAAAAAAAAATTACTCCCTAATCTGAACTTACTCGAAATCGCCTCCTCTAATTTTGGAGAGACAAATGAAGTAAATTCCGTTGCCGACCAAGATACTACCAGTTTAATGTGCCACGTGGCACTTCTAAATTCCATTTTTAATTTATTATTATACTAATAATAATATAATAAAAACAAAAAAATTATTGTGTTTTACATGTATTTGATTCATAGATCTAATTATGTTAGTGTCATCGAACAAAACAGAGTGAAATCAAAGGCTTAAGCAACCAACCTGGAAGTGTAGAGGAATCCAACAAAAGCGGAAACGGCGTCGCATGGGACGCCGAGAATCGGGATGACTCTCTCAGAGCTCCGGTGCTTAAGTGGCCTCTCGATTATATTTTCCAGCACTGGAGAAACCATTGCCTGATTTAAAAAGAAAAATCAGAAAACAAAGAAAAAAATTGAAACCAGAAAATGTTCAAAATAAAAACGGAGAACTTAGATTCATTACCAAGATGCTGGAGTGAACGGGGATACGGAGGCCGCCAGAGGTGACGATCTGGACATCGGGTTCGGGTAATTCACAGGCCGAGGGAATGGCGGAGATGACGGCGGAGGAGGTTGAATTACGATTGGTATCTTCCATGGAAAGAGAAAAACGAGAGACTAAGAGTCTGTTGTAGTTCTTGTGTTATGTCCAAATAGGTCGGCTGTCTTGAACTTTTATAGACATCATTAGGGAGAGAGAGAAAAACATTTAAAAAATGCTAAAAAACCTAAGCAATGAACAATCTGATGTGTCATGCGTGACATAAATGTTGTGCTTTACTGTTCCTACGTGCTTCCCCACTATTTCTTCGGAAAAAAAAAAAAAACTAGTCAACCTAAATTCCGGTTTGCTGAATTTCGTAGGTTGATTTGTTGGGATTCTTTTTTTTTTAATCTGGTCGAAGAAAAGGATAAAATGTCAAAGCAGCTCGTATTTAGCTGACTTGATTTGTCTCAATTTGATATGGATAAAACATTTTCGAAATTTGATATTGAAAATAATGTGAATTTATATATATATAAATAATTAGATGGATGAAAAATAAATTTAGGATGTTCTGTTTTAATTTATTTTTAGATATAATATCTAAATTATTATTTATTAAATTTTATATTTATATATATGTATTATATTAATAAATTATTATTTAATATCTTAATTTAAAAGATTAAATTAATAAAAAGTAATAAAGAGTGCAATCTAATTAAATTAGATGGTTGTAATTTTAACTTTTTGTATTTAAAATTATAAGATATTAAATTTTGATCATTAAAATTAAAAATTAATATTTTATCAGTAAATCACATTATTATTGATAATTTTATTTTATTTACAAAATATAAAATATAATATAATATTAAATGATGGGTAATTCAAAGTCATATTTTAAAAAGGACATTTACATAGAGTCAACCTTTTTGGATTTACATTGCCAATAAATTACTCAATGTGAAAAGAGTAACCAAATTTACTAGAACTAAATGTATTTTGAGGGAAAGATTTAAGTGAAATTTAGATTAAAAATAAATTAATCAAAATTAAAATCAAAATTAATAAATTGAAAAATTTTTATTATATAGATTAACTATATAATCTTTGAAAAAAATTAATAAAATTTAATATACTTTCTAGATAGATGTTTTTAATTAAAATTTTGATAAAATATATATTATTAAATAAATATTAATTAAATTTAAGTTGTAATCCAAATTTTTAATAATTTACGTATTATTAATGTTTCTTTTAACTTTATTAATCTATTGATTTGAATTTTTAAATTTTATTTTATTAAGTTGTTTTTAATAAAAATTCTATGTAAGTATTTCCCGATGCTTTGAACCACAAATTAATTGTCAAAATATCCTCGGACTACAAATGTCAATAAACGGCTTTTCGTGAGTCTGAAGAGTTCCAGTTCGGTCTGACGTGGCTCTGGTTCTCAGCTATTCGGCCGTTTAATCTTTTTCCCATTTGTATCATTTAAAATGCAAACAAAAATCTTCGTGGATTTGCCAAGTAGGCTGAATGCCACGTGTCGATGACCCACAGCCTAATAAAAAAACTGCATCCTACGCGTAAACATAGAGTGCAACGGTTCCAACAACCACTCGATAATAAACACGTGTAAGTCGAGGTTGACCGGTTTAGGAAAGATTCTATTGGTCTCACTAATTTTGACCATTCAAACTTTGGGTCGCTACGGACTCTGATTCAAATCAAGTATGCTATGGTGGCAGATAACATTGCCTCTAATGGATACTAATTTGATTAATGAATTAAGTTTGTTTATGATTAGATTACTGATACGGCTTTTTTTTTTTAATTTTTTATTTACCTCAATTTTTAATTCTTATCTAAACGTTATTTAAATTAATCTCAATTAATTATTTAAAGAAATATATTTTTTATTTCTTTTATACTTTTAAAAATATACATGAGTAAAATAAGAGCATTGGAGAATAAAATATTTTAATTCAAGTAGGAAGGATTTGATTTTTTTTTTGTGACAAGTTGAACTTTGGGTAAAGTCTATTTCCAGGAAATAGCGTTTATAGGTTTGTGGTTGAGTAAAAAATATGTTAATACGGTGGAGATTCATTCCCCCTCTTTCCTCTTATTTTAAATATTTAGTGATGTAGCTTGAAGGAACCAAAGGCTACAACTGAACAGATCTTTGGGGCCACTTTAATTTAATTCAAAGGAAAGGTTTGCTTTTGGAAATCGGTTGGCACCCATTGTTGGTCATAAAGGGGCAGGAAAATATTGTCAAATTTGTTTCTAAATCTTTGTTTGCAAAGCTGCATTTGAAAGAAATCATTAGCATCCTTTAGGAGAGCTGGACCTTCCAATGTAACTTCTTTAGAACCACTAGGCAACTTGTTTTGCTTAAAGGCTTCAACCCCAGGATGTGATGAGTCGACATCGAGGTGCCAAACGACTCCGTCGATAAGAGCTCTTGGGAGTCATCAGCCTGTTATCCCCGGCGTACCTTTGATTCACTGAGCAATAACCTCGACTCTTGGATCACTATGGCCGACTTTCGTCTCTGTTCGACCAGTCGGTCTCACAGTCAGGCAGGCTTATACCATTACGCTCACGAGCAGAATCTTAGCTTGAGCCTACCTTCGCACACCTCCGTTACTCTTTAGGCGGCATCCGCCCCAGATAAACTACCCACCTCGCAGTGCCCCCCGTCCTTTTCTCCGAATTCTCGGTTAAAGATGAAAGAGACGGTAAATAAAAAAATATTCATAATTATCAATGATTTGAAATTCAAATAATTATAAATAAATAATTAATTGATTCGAATAAAAAATTTATTATTAATGATAAATTACGAATAGATATATATCTCATAGATATTCAATATTCAAATTCGTTTTAATTTTAATAAATAGTAATAGATATTAAAATTCGTATTTGAATTCATTATTTATTTAATAATGTAAAAAATATATAATTTTATCAAAAATTTTAATGAATTAAAATATTTAAATAAATAATGTATATTGAACGAAATTAAAATTGAATAATAATATTAAATTTAAATAAATATTTAATTGAATTTAAATATTATAAATATTAATCAAAATTGGATACGAATATTTCGGAAGTAAAAAATATTCACTCTGTTGTCATTTTTATTTTCGATGCAGTGACTTTTTTTTTTTTTTTTTTTTTCTGGCAAAAAAGCTTTATCTTAATGACAAAGAGGAGGCTGTAAAATCCAAAAGATTGAGATGAATAATATTTTTTGTCATATAAATTAAACAGATAGAGATAAGGGCTAAAGATAAGATTAAAAATTTTTTTAAAAAAAGATAAAACAAATTTACGAGATGACAAACCCTAGTTTTATAGGTGCTGGACTTAGAACCGAGTCTCAAGGAATTTGCCAGCCTCTAATGGGAGATTGGGTGAACTAAATTAATTGTCCAAAGGGCAAACTTTAATTAGACCATCCATTTTTTCACAAACAAGAATTACACGAAGGAGAGCGTTGAAGATGTTCTTTAAAACATGAAGCCATTATAAAGATCCCAGATTATAAGTGATGCGATTCGAATGGATTGGGCCACGTCTGCATTGCAGGTCCCAGTTTTGATATAAAGCCACAAGCCCACACGAGAGGATTATACGTTGGACACAGGCCACCTAATGTTCTTCAAGTACCCAGATATAATCAAAGCAAAAGGCCAGCCCAAAAATAAACTAGTTTCAGATCCATTTCCCTAGCCTAGCATATTCTTTTGGACCCGCAAATTCGTTTATTTTCTTTGAAAAATATTTGTTATTAAGCTATAAAAGGGTTTCTGGATTTTATTTAATTTATATTTTTAATCGGATTAATTAGATTATTTATGTTAAATTTAACGAATTTATAAAAATTACTTCAACGAGCCTGTTCTCCATATAAACGATAATTCACTTTGTTTTTTTAATTTTTGGTAGGGCAATTTGTTAGACTTTTATCTACTTGGAATCCATGAATTAAATATAAGCAAGCAATTGTCATTTGTCAAGGTCATAGAATTTGCCAGCTCCTCTTTAAGATATAAATATATTCCACAATTCTCGATATGGTGGAAATGTTCCCATCTCTCCTATATTTTTCTTCTTTGCTTACTCCTCTGAGCACGTTTTTTTTTTTTAATTTTTTATCAGATATTGTTGAACCAATTTTATACCTTTACCTAGTGAATAGCACATGGGCAGAATTGTGCTTTCCTCTTATTCTAGAAAGGCTGCTTTACGCATGTTAAAATGGCATTCTCTACCAAAACTGTAGACCAGACATTAGCTTGATCCTCGCCGTGATCTCGCTTAGACCGTTGCCTTGGTAGGGTCCCCCTGCCCTGTGGCTTCCAGATGGCGAGCAAATCGCATTGGTCATATTGGCTCACGGTATATGACTGGCTGGATTACATTTTGCAGTCTCTCTCTCTCTCTCTACTCATTGGAATGTTGAAAATCCGTCACAAAAATCAACCATTTTGTTGCTGCTAGCTGAAGGAAAATATTGATGGTCCTAAAGCTCAATATCATCATCTGTTGATAGGCTATAGTCGTCTTCAAATTAGGCTCCCCACGCACTTATTGTCTCTCACATGGTCGGGTCCATGACATCTGCATCATCACGTAATGTCTTAAGACCAATCCTAACCATCTGCTGAATGATGGGATGGTCCAAATTAATTAGAAATCCAACTTGGAGGGTTTTCATGCACTAAACCTGTAAACGCAATTCTGATTTTTCCAGTTGGCCAATGATATAACATTCCTCCAAACACTTATCATTAACATGCTATTTACATCATCTATAATTTTCTTGATACGTTTTGTCAATGTCATGTGAACAAATCATGCACTTTTTTTTGTTGTTATAATCACTTGCCATGTTTGTCAGCTAAACAGAAGTTAACCCAAACCTAAACAGTTGTTTAAAGCAATTCTCTCAGCAAAGATGGTCCTGGTTTTGGTTAGAAAGGTCCTGTCTGTATGCAGCATGTTGTCTATATTAAGCACAAAAGAACTTCTAGGCCTTCGATCATAATTTCTCTTTTGTACTTTATACTGCAACCAATAACAAATCAATGGGGCAATGGTGCCACTGATGGGGCAGGCAACAAGGAGAGATCAGCATTGCAATCCACGTCCCTGTTTGAGAATGAGAACCGCTTAGTTCAATATTTATTCCATGACATTTA